ACGGGAGTCAGAACCCTTGCCAATGAATTGGGGGAACAAGGGTGACATCTCAGTGACTGCGTCCCAGAGAAAGCCAGCATCAAATGAGTGCAAATCCACCAACCATCTTTATCCTGGAAGCCATACCCCCTTATTTAACCACTCAGTGAATTTTATCAGGTGTCTACAGTGTTCCAGGTACCACCAATTGTCCTAGAAATAAGGAATCAACCTCCTTCCTTCTCTGGAATTAGCAAAATGCCTGTTTGGTGTCAGTTATCACAGAAACGGTCCATGGCCTCTGTCTATCTATTGCACCAACAGGTAAGGTGGATTCCAGGGTGTCAGCTGTTCTGAACAGCAAACCTCTTGTGTAAAGCAACCTTCAGTGACCTTCCCCAACCAGGCTAGGGGCAAGGGGTCCACGTCTCCTCTCACAAGGAGGGTGGATTTTTTTTTAAGTTGTCACATGAAGCAGGAGCGACATCTTCTGCACCATGAAATTGTGGGAGGAGAGAAGACAGTAGTTTGAAGACGGAAGAATCGGGGCGGTCAAATGAGATCAAAAGGATGTCAGTCAGGACCCACTGTTTCTCTGTGTGAGTATTTTATTTTCCCTTTTCAATTAGGAAATACTTCAATATTATAAAATAGTGTAAGGGACATGCATGTATCCACTGGTCAGATTTACCCGAAGTAAATGCTTGGTCACGGTTGCCACCGATCTTTCTTATCAAAAAACAGAAAGAAAAGAAAAGAAATCTAAAAGATTCAACTAATGCCTCACACCTCCTCCCCATCTCTTCCTCCCTGCTCTCTTCCAACAAGTAACCACCATCGGAGCCACGCCTTGCACATTTGTGCACATTTACTGCACGAAGATGTGTCCACAAACTACACATGAAAGTGTCTTGTACAGATTCACATTTTAGATGAAAGGCATCATTTCATATTGAGATTGTCTTTTCAAAACAGGTAAATTTTTTTTCTAATTTTTTATGGTGATAAAATGCACAGAAAACTTACCATCTTAACTATTTCTAAGTGCACAGCTCAGTGAGCATGAAGGACATTCACACTGTTGTGCAACCATCACCACCATCCACCCACAGAACTCTTTTCACCTTGACAAATGGAAGGTTTTTCATCAGGAAACAATAACTGCCCATTCTCCCACTCCCCCCAGCCCCTGGCAACCATCATTCTACTTTCCATCTGTTTGCTCCGGGTACGTCACAGAAGTAGAATCATTCAGTATCTGTCTTTCTGCAACTGGCTTATTTCACGCAGCCTAATGTCCTCATGATGCATCCATGTAGCAAGTGTCAGAATCTCCTTTCCTTTTAAGGCTGAATATTCCAGCTAATTTTTTAGCTGTCAGGCTGGCCCAACAACCCACCACCCTGCCCCATCCTTGCTTCCCTGTCTACAAGAGCCCTGCCGCCTGTGCATGAATGCCTCCGTGGACTAGAAACACTCGCCCTTTAAAGGAAGATCAGGAGTGAAGCAGCTTTATGCAGCAGAATGAGTGCGGCCCTGGCTAGAAAAGAAGGACCTGTGTTCCAGCCCAGAGAACATGCATGGGCTGGGGCTAGCGGGCCGTGAATAGATGGTATTGACCCAACCGTTTACTGTTTCTCCAAGTATGTGCACATCCATTCCCTGACTCAGCCCTGGCATCCTTCACCTCTGAACCCTGTCCAGGATCCTCAGGAATGGGTCCTGACATGCATTAAGGGAAGGCAACAAGGAAAACCAACCCAGACTGAGGGAACATTGCCAGAGAGAAGGGAGAAACCGAAACCATCAGGCACAGCAATGGACCGGAACTGTTCTGGGTGCTGTGCGTACGTACGTGTTTGTTATACATAATTAAAAAGTGTTCATGGTCACCTTAATTTCCAAGGAAGAAATGCAGTTTCCCCGTCCCCACCCCCATGCACTGTTCCTTGCCCCGGCTCCTGGTCAACCCAGTGATGCTCCCCACACAAATGAGGACGTCCTTATGATCTCTCTTCTGCTTTTTGATGGGTTGAGTACTGGAACTGGATTTTAGCTGGGTATGTCTCTCTGTTTCTGATCCTACTGAGATTCCTCAAGTAGTTAAAATATTTAACATTTGGGATAAATTCTTAGCATTCTTAATTGGGCGGAGTCTGTTATTGATATGCAGTATCTTATTTTGTTCTCCCACAAGTCCTGCAAGATCGGACTGTTCTGCCCATTTTACAGGTGAGGAGGCTAAGGCTCAGAGACGTGGAAGAACTTGACTAAAGAGAAACGCTCCCCAAACGACTCTTTCCAGTAGCTCACGTCACACCTCCAAGTGGTTCATTCCGCAACAGGCTCTGTTCTGCTTAACGGATTTTCCGTGCTTTTCACCCCCAACCAGAAAGCGATGGCCCGACGGCTCCCTGCCACGCCGGGTCTGAGCTACCTGGAAGTTACCTTATACGAGGGTTACAGGAAGGGAAGGCGAGGATGGTTGTGCTGAAATCCCAGGTCCCGATCCCTAACGCTCAGCCCTGAACTGCAGTGGAAACCTCTTATAGTGAGGCATGCGGGAGAGCTTTAAATGGCTTGGCAGGGACTCTGAAATCAGACCCGGCCAGCATGTGTCCCTGGGTATCAGAATAGACACTATATTTACCCCGAAAGCCCTTTAGTGCTCTAAGAGCTATAAATAGTCATTAGGGCCCAAGCAAGTGGCCTTAACACAAGGATTTCTTTCCAAAAAATGCAGAACCATTTTAATTAAACTTGCAATCAACCTTTGGGAGGGCAGGCCCCCGGATTCCGTTTGCACTCAGAGACACGGTGAGTAACTTCCTCTTCACTGACCATTTGGGGATTAGCACGCGGGCTGGAGCAGCCCTCCGGGAGCTCCCTGGAGAGGGGGCTCGGGGCTTGGTGCATGAGTGTGCCTGCCCCTCCCGCCCCAGGTCCCGATCCCGTCTCTTTGCAAAGCCAACACCTTTCTTTTTCCTTTTTCTTTCTTTCTTTTTTGTCATTTCCCCCCAGAACAAGATGGGAGTCACAGCTATGCTCGCACTGCCCCTGCTGCTCTTGGGAATCAGCGGCCTCCTCTTCATCTACCAGGAGGTGTCCAGGTTGTGGTCCAAGTCAGCCGTGCAGAACAAGGTGGTGGTGATCACCGATGCCATCTCAGGACTGGGCAAGGGTAAGCCAGCGTCACCCCCACTTGTACCGACTCCCTCCCCGAAGGATAAGCAGTGACAGAGTGGCATCCGGGTGAGCCGGCTGGGACGAAATGGGGGGCGGGGGAAGGCAGTCAAGGTTGTGTTCTCTCCTACCATCTGGCATTAAGCAGCAAGTGTCTTCTCCCTCGGAGGCTGCAGCTTCCTCTCCTGAGAATTGAGGGGGTTGGAATACATGGGGTTGCAAACTCACAGCCTGCAGGGCCAAAATCAGTCTGCAGTTATGGTCTGTTTTGCTGTCATGGGGTTTCCAGAAATTCTGAAATGCAAAGCCCTCCGCAGGGGCAGGGAACTGGTTACAAGGCCAGACTCGGGAGCTAGGATCTGGTCTGGGCTCCACCACTTACTAGCTGGGGGCCGCCCTGCTCAGCCTTGGATTTCTCCTCTGAAGGCAAGGATACAGTCCTCTCTGCCTCATAATGTTGTTGTGATGAATAAATGAATTAATAGGTGGAGAATACTCAGAACAGTGCCTAGAGCTACAGTGGGCAGCACTCAGGTGTTAGTAAGGGTGATAAGGATGAACAGATCTAGGCAGGACATGCAGACACCAGTGTACCACACTCCCCACTAATCCCTATTGTCTCACACTCTTCGGATTCTCTCAACCATATCATCACCTCCTGGCCTTGAAGGCATTTACCATTGGAACTCCTGAATTAGATGGTGTCAGAGGGCCCTTCCTCTGTGGCATCTGTGACATAAGAGATAGTAACTGTCCTTAGGTTGTAAGCTTCTGACTCTCTCATTCCCAACAATGATAGTGCAGCCCCGTGCGTCATATACTTGGGGTCCAATTCTTGCTGTTGTTTTTGTTATTTTTAATCAAATGCAGAACCCCCCAGCCAAACATTCATTAGGTCACTCAGCTGGTGTCCACTGAGTTCACTACATCCTGAGTACCAAGATGAGCACCAGCCCTTCCACAGAGGCCTGCGGGCAGGCTGGGCACCCGCCACCATGCCGCGCCATCACGAGAACATTTGCAACCTCCCGTCTGGGAATTCTCTCAGTGCCTCCTTGGCAGCCCACCTTCAGTGAGTGGTCAGCTTGGGCTCACCACGTGAGATAAAAGACAAAGAGCAGGGCAGTTAAACTAGGTTCCCGGGTGGCCCCTACGTGGGCCCCAGAAGCAATTCCCAAGAAGGATATCCTGCATCATTAGACTCAGTGCTCAAAAGGGATGGAGATGGGGACCACAAACTCCATCTCTACAGGGACCGGCCAGGGCACACGCATTTGCCAATCAAACCAGACACAAGACAACTGACAGTAGTGGGTGCCCTGGGGAAACGGACCAGAGACACCTACCCAGAGACACTCAGAGTCAGTGTTCACGGCAACCTGTTCTTTAAGCAGAACACGCCCTTCCAGCAACAGGCCAGCTGCCAACGTGAGACCCCTTCGTCACCTTAATTCCCTGCCACCTCGATTGCTCCTCCCTCTTGGATGGCCCCCGAGGAGCTGGCTTCTGGGCTCCGTGGCTGCTCACAGAAAGACACTACCTTTAGTGGAGTGTCTGGGGTTTCTCGACTGGTACCCAGGATACGGACTCTCTTGGTGACCGAACCACGGATGCAAGAAAGGCAGGTGCATCCTGCTGCTGATGGGCGGGCGATCTCCACATGTCGCTTCCATCCTGCTCAGGATCTTCAGAGGGCTGTTCAGAGCTTCTCTAACCGTCCTGACTTCCTGTCTTACTAGATGGGACTTAAGTTCCATCTATTGCTGACAGATGTATATTTGGTTTTATAGTCTTATTTATTTTATGTAAGTCTCATTCTATTAGAGCTAAATATTGTGCAAATCGGGTATTTAGGAAATACATCTCAGAAGCAAAATGGCATTTTCAGAGGAACGTGGTCTAGTCTCTGTCATGTTACCACTGCTCTTTTTTTTAAGTCTCTCATGGGCTCACCCTAGAAAGAAAGGCAAAGCAGAAAAAAATAAAGTCCGAGTATTTAAAAGTAACTTGAGAAGCTGGGCGGGTGTGACCTTAAATAAATGCTTGGCCAGAGCATGCTGCTGACCGCGGCAATTCCGAGTCCCAAGTGCTCCATTTCCCAAGTTTAAGGCAAGAAAACAGTGAGGGGCGCCAACTCACGATCTTGAAGACCACTGTGGGGTCTTCAATAATCCGACCAACCCCCAGAGCAGCCTCAGATCTCCCCGCTGTGCTCTGGGAGGATTGGGGGCCCATGAGATGTCTCAGGGCGACTCAGACCTCGGTCCAGGCTCCCAGCGACAGGGAACTCCCAGCATGTGTTCAGATGCTTCTGGGGGCTTGCTGGGCAGGGTCCTTTTCCTGCCCAGTTTAAGGAAGTCCTAGTAAACGAACTTTCCTATGGAGGAAGGGCTGTTTTATGCCACTATGAGCTGCCCTTCGCAGGAGGCCACCACATTGAGGCTGGAAACAAAAAGAAATTCCAGAGGAAGCTGAAAGAAATGAACTCTAAAGGAACTCACAGCTCCAAGACCTGAATTCTTGGAATTCTTGCACTTGGTGGAGAGAGGGGCTCACCCTCAGGGGTGTCATCCACACGGCGTGCCCTGTCTGCCCTCCTTCTCCCCACAGAGTGTGCTCGGGTGTTCCACACCGGCGGGGCAAGGCTGGTGCTGTGTGGGAAGAGCTGGGAGAGGCTGCAGAGCCTGTATGATGCCCTGATCAGCGTGGCGGACCCCAGTAAGGTAAGGCCCTCCGGCGGCCGGCGTGACTAACTCCTGGCGTCCTTAGCCTGCGTTGACTGTCGGCGAGCAGCTCCTTGGGTGAAATTTGGTGATTGCTTTGGGGGAATGTAAGGCAATGGCCTCATTCATCTTGACACAGGTACCTCGGCCAGTTTGGTGGTTGACTCATTTTGACCACCCACCCTTCCAAAAATGTGTTCTCCAGCCCTCGGGCCTCCCCACCCTCCATCCTATTTAAGTCAGACTTAAAGAGGATCCAGAAGATAGAATTTGTTACAGATAGGGGACTCTGGGTATAAACACTTATGGCTGATTCTTTAAAAATAATACTTCAAATAATATTTCCTTCCAAGAAATCAGGGAAATGTCTCCTTCCATGAAGTTATATAGGAGGTGAGCCCAAGGCTGGCTTTTTCAAAGGATTTCCAGAGCATTGTTAAAGAAATTTTTCTTTTTTAATCTTTGCCCTTGATGTTGAATTTGGTTTGGGAAATAGCCCCAACTAATTTAGAACTAAGCCTGGTACTTGAGGAGGTAAACAGGACAGCAGGGCATTCTCCAAGATGTGTTTCTTGGGGTCTTATTGGGTATTTATTGGTTATTAGGTAGTAAAAACAAGGTTCTGAGGTCAACTGTGTGGGACATATTGAGTTAGGCCAAGCTTGTCTGACCGTTTCTTTACTGCAGGACTTTTCAGAGCCTTTGATATGTAAATATGTGTATATTTATCCAGGAAGAACATATAATAGTCTGTTTCCCAAATAAACTTGACCAGGGAGCCCTCTTTTGAAAGGCATATCTCAGGACTAGTGTTTGTCACACACTGGGATTGCGTTTATCATCAATTTTCTCACCTATACCTCTTCTAAACCATGAGCATCTTGACAACAGAAAGTGTTAAAAGCCAAACACAATGCCCAGCACATAGATGGTGCTTCAAAGGTATTGTGTTGAGTGTATGATTTTGGTCAAAAACAAAATGTGGTTACAAAGTACTGGACAGATTCTCTTGTGGCTTGGAAGCCAGCTTGAAAGCATTTTCCAAAAAAGAGCTCAGAATTGTTATAAGTAATGACATCACCTCTGGAATCAGTGCACAGCCTCCATTTGGATTTCTTGGTTCTGGCCCCCTGACCTGAAGTTCAGACTTCTCACTGCACATTTGCATGTCTGGAATGTTGTTGCTCTGGTCCGCAAGAATGCATTTTCTCCATCAATTTCCTTCCTCCCAGAATCATCTCTGCTTCTTCCTCATCCTTTCTTTGTAGTCATTCCATGAGCTCTGAATTTCAAAAGGGGTATCCCTTAGATTGAAGGCCCCCAGGTCTGTGGGGATGTTCTCACACGTGCCTTGATTCTCTCATTGGTCCAGCAGACATTCACCCCGAAGCTGGTCCTCTTGGATCTCTCGGACATCAGCTGTGTCCAAGATGTGGCCAAAGAGGTCCTAGATTGCTACGGCTGTGTGGACATCCTTATCAACAATGCCAGCGTCAAGGTGAAGGGGCCTGCCCACAAGATTTCTCTGGAGCTCGACAAAAAGATCATGGACGCCAATTACTTTGGGCCCATCACACTGACCAAAGGTCTCGTGAGTTTGACCTTCCTGTGGGTTCTTGGGCCACTGGCTAATGGAGAGTGCTCTGTTATGTCACCCGACAGGCGTCCAATTCTGGATGGAGCCTCCAGCACCCCTCAGAAAAATCCCTGCTTATTTGGTGAAAGCTTTCAGCAACTGACTGTAAATGTTGATAAAAGCAAAGGGACTGTGAAAGTCTCTTACTGGTAAACTCCACCCTCCCTCCCTGAGAGGCCCCCTCCCCAAGCCCCGCCCTTTACTCCTCTTTGCTTCCTCATACCCATGGCTCCCCTCCAGTCCCATTCCACATCTCTGGATGTGGTCTTCATCCTCCACAAATCTTCCTACATCAGCCTTGTGGTTGATCTGCTCCTAACCAGGACAGTTGGTCAAAGGTAGAAATTCTGTTCTCAGTAATGAAGAAGAAAAGAGTCTATCTCCAACTACAAGAGACCCAGAGCCCTGTCAATTCCTTTGCAGAAACAGGGAAGGCAGGAGGATATCTCCCTTTTAAGGGTCAGATGGTGGTTTCTGTATGGAGATTTCTAACTGCCAAGTTCAAGTGCAGGTCTGAAGCCTGGAGGGGTTGTGCCTAGAGATGACATGGAATCGAACTAAGAGTTTAAACCCTCCCCCCTCCCCCCACCACCAATAAAGTTCATCAAAGCAGAACCACAAAAGGGAGATGATAAGCAGGGAGAACGTCTACACTGAGGGAGTGGGCGCCCTGGCAAAGGCTGAGAAAGCCTGGTTGTAGAGCTGTCCCTTCTCTGCAGCCAGAATCTCACTGCTAATGGGCTTCTGAGACCTGCGGCAGAGGAAGGCAAAGAAGCATCTGGAGCAGAGAGATGACTTCCCAGAGCTTCTAAAATGGTGCCCAGCCCAGTCCCCGAGGGCACAGCCGGCAGGCCAGCCCAGGTGTGTCAGTCACGCTGCCTCCGAGCGCACAGGGTGCCCTGGCATCGAAGTAAGGATGCAACCCTGAGTCTTTGACTTTCTGCCACATCCCTATTCCACCTGGACCGTTACTTACCTCACAGCTTTCCCTAAATCTCCTCATTTGTAAATGAATTCGGTTTAAGGGGAAATTTCACCATAAATTAAAAACCATCTTCCCTCTCAATAAATAGAAGAAAATCTGAGATCAAAACAAAATAGTGAATTCTCCAAAGACAAAGTGCTGAGGTCTTTCCTCTCTTCTTAAAAAACTTTTTTAATTTATTTTTTACTGGAGGATAGGTGATTTCTAATGTTTCAGGGATACAGAAAAGTGACTTCATTTATACAGATATATATTCTTTCTCAGATTCTTTTCCATTATGTGTCATGACAAGATATTGAATATAGTTCCCTGTGCTATACAGTAGGTCCTTGTTGTTTCTATATTTTATATATAGTAGTTCATACCTGTATTTCCTTTTTCAAAAAAGCTTAGCACATGCAGGAGAGGTGTTACAGACCTACTGGAAGAGAGGTGAGGATATAGCTCAGTGGCAGAGGGAGTGCTTAGCATGCACCGGGTCCTGGGTTCAACCCCGAGTACCGCCATTAAAATAAATAAATAAATAAAATTAATTACTTCCTCCCACAAAAAATCCAAACAAATAAACTGAAGACCTATTGGAATCACCCTGAGACTTCGTACTAGAAGCAATAGGAGACCTGAAGAGAGATTACCTTTCTCACTGTTGAAATCTGCGTCATTCCATTTCTGTGTCTCCTCGTGCACATGGATGGGTCATTTAAAATCACCCAGCAATTCACCAGTTGGGCCCAGCCCACTCTTAGGAGACACTGGATAAATGATGGCCGGGGTCCATTCCGTCTGCATCTCACTGTGATCTAATTACCAGGAGGGCAGCGGGGCCCCAGGTGATGGAGGGGGTCTGGGGAAGGGGTCTGCATGCTGCTGCCTGCCTCGCTCTCAGATCTGTAACTGGGCCTCATTGCCCCGTGCTTTCCAGCCCTGCTTCCCAACATGATCTCCCGGAGGACAGGCCAAATCGTGCTAGTGAATAACCTCCAAGGGAAGCTGGGAATCCCGTTCCGCACCGCCTGTAAGTTGCTAAGGCAAAAATGTTTCGTCTTATGTTACATGTCTTATAAGAGATGTTGTGTCTGGGACTAGGCGTATGGCCGCATCGGGGAGGAGGTCCAGGGATGGAGGCATCCGCTGGCTTTGCTTTCTTCCCTTCAGCTCCTATTTTTGAGCACCTACAGCACTCAGGTGACTGCGGGAGATAAAAAAGAAGCCTTCCTCCCGCACCCCCAGAAGCTGCGTCCCACAGGCGGCCAGGACGTGCCCTGGCTGAACGGGACCCGTGCCAGATCAAGGTCACACTCCTGACGTGGGTGCGCAGTCCCAGATGCCCCCTTCTCAGCAAAGATGCCCTTGAGGGACAGGAAAGATTACAACCGGGAAAGAAAGGAGGGGTGCGTGTCATATCTGGAAACGGGAGATGGATGAAGGGTTCTGAGGAGGGAGGAGGGAGAGAAGGAAAGGGGCAGAGTCCCAGCAGAGGCGCCAGAGAGGATTCTAAAGTGACAGTCCTCGAAAAGGTCTGAGGGCGAGTGGGGCTTCTCAGTGCATGTTCATGGGATCCAGCTGGGAAAATTGTGGAGCCACTCCCACCACCCATGAGGTGGGATGTGGGAGGGTGGGGAGCAAGCCTCATACGTTTCTTTACGGCCCACAGTACCACGCACGACACAGGAGCTGGGGAAGTGTCTGCTGGGCAGAAGGGAGGGACGAACAAGGAATGGGTGGGGCCCCTGACTTAGTCTGCTGGGGCCGCTGTAAAGAAATACCACACGCTGGATGGCTCAGACAACAGAAACGGATTTTCTTACAGTTCCAGAGGCTGGAAGCCCAAGATCAAGGTGCCAGGAGGTTTGATTTTCCCTGAGGCCCCTCTCCTTGGCTTGCAGACGGCCGTCTTCTCCCTGTGCCCCCACATGGACTCTCCTCTGTGTGCAGCCCTGCCGTCCCCTCCTCTTCTTATAAGGACACCAGTCAGGCTGGATTAGGGCCCACCCTAACGGCCTCCCAGGAGCATCCGATCAAGCCAGAGGGAGACTCCTGTGGGGAGGGGGAGAAAGAGAAGCCCAAAGGGCTCCCCTGGGGTCCTAGCCACATAGGGGCCACCAAACATTGTGTGACACAACGGGGCGGCCCATATGAGGACATGGTGACACTCAGGTTGGTAAAAGAATTTACCAAAGATAAAGTATGAGCATAGAAACACGTTTATCAGGGGACACTGCCATAGGCCACTGCGGGCCACACAGACGAGGGGGCTGGTTGTTGGGGTCTTTTATAAGGTCGGGTCACAAGGTGCCTGATCGGCTTGTGCACAAGTCTCTGATGGGCTGAGGTGAGGGAAGAGGTTTAGGTCTGTGAAGGGCAGTGATAAGGCAGGCATGACCTGGGGCTGTCAGTCTGTTAGGGGAAACACGTGCAGTAAAGAGTGTCAGACACCTGAGAGCCCAGGAAAGGGGGTTCAGAGAGCTTCTAGGTTGGTGAACACGCGGAGGTTTGGGGACAGTGGTACACTCCGCGGGGGCGTGGAAGATCTGATCCCTTCCCCCATAACTGGCCCTGTTCATCTCTTCCATCTGGCTGTTCCTGAGTTATATCCTTTTCTAATAAACCTATAACCTAGTAAGTATAAGGTTTCTCTGAGTTCCGTGAGCTACTCTCGCAAATTAACCGAACCCAAGGAAAGGCCCATTGGAATCTCCAGTATACAGCCAGCTGGTCAGAAGTACAGGTGACAATGTGGGCTTGTGATCAGCCTGAACGGGGTTGGGGGACAGTCTTGTAGGACTGAACCCTGAACTCCTGCTCGCCAATGCTCTTACCCTGGGCCCCTGCTATAAACGGGAGTGACTGTGAAAGTACAGCCTATTTATCAGAGGGTCTCCCAGGCGGGCGCTGTGTGAGGAGTTTCACACATCTCATCTTGTTCTAAACTCACAGCAGTAATATTCCGCTCTATTTATGCCTCACCAGGTCCTCAGGTTACAGGTGAGGCACCCAGCACCTGCATTCTTAACCCCGCTGACCTCAGGACCTTGGAGAAATCACTCTCCCTTGGGGAATCAGCCTTCCCGGGAAGGGATGAGAACTCATGCTAGTGCCAGGGGTTTCAGATACGTTTTCTTATTTGGCAAGCGTGATATTATGCCCATTTTAAAGATAAGAAAACTGAGCCTTGGAGGTAATAATTAGCCACTGACCCAAAGTCACACTGTGGACAAGTGGTTAAATTGGACTCAGCCCCAGCTCTGCGTCTGCCCAGCTCTGTCCTCCCCTATGGCGTGAGGAGCAGGGCTGTAACTTTTGAGGCCTCTTTCAGCCGAGTCTGTAGGAACGTGCGTCTCCAGCGTCCCCCTGGGAAGCGTGGCCGGGATTTGCGTTCACCTCCTGGCTGGTTTCTCTTCCAGATGCCGCCTCAAAGCACGCGGCACTAGGCTTCTTCGACTGCCTCCGGGCGGAGGTGGAGGAATACGACGTGGTCGTCAGCACCGTGAGCCCTACTTTCATCCGGTCCTACCACGTTCCGCCCAGCCAAGGAAACCGGGAGGCCTCCGTTTGGAAATGTGAGCTTTCAGAGGGAAGCTGGAGGGACGGGGCTGGGAGGGCTCCCAGGGGTGGGGGTGCAGGGTGTTCTCGAAGCATGAGACTGGGGGCCATGGGACCCCTGCACCCAGCCAATGGCAGGGAGAGGCCCCCAAACTTCAGCCCTGAGGCACCAGGTAGATGGAATCCTCACTTGCAACCAGCAGACTCTGCGCTCCATCACTCACAGGCTCTCTGCCCTCGGCCACATGACTGCAGGTCTCTGGGCTCAGTCTCCCACGTGGAAGAGCCAGGATTTGGTCTTTAAGAACCCCCGGCCCCTGTGCCCTAGGAAGCAGCACAGAGTCCAGGCTGCCTGCCTGCATCTGCAGCTCGTCTCTGTCACATACTCCACATCTGACCACGGGCAATTCCCTGCACCTCTGCCCCAGTTTCCCCTTTGGAAAATGAGGGCTGATGGTAATACCTACCTTGTGTAGCCATTGGGAGGACCAAAAGTTCCAGCTCATAAAGGGTTTGGAGCTGCAACCAGCACATCGTGAGTGCTCTGTAAATGCACCTACTGTTCCTATTCTAGAATGCTCTGAACCGAGCAGCTCCACTCTGCCTGAGGCTCTGTCTTCATTAGGGAATCAGGATGAACCAAGATGTGGGCAAGTGGTTTCCAGGGGCTCCAGACAAGCCCAAATCTGCAACAGTTACAAACCACAGCCCCTTCAGACATCTGGCCCCTTCTTCTAAGCTCTTTCTCATCCCTTCCACGGCTCACAACCACCCTGCGAAGTTAATAGGGCAGGAAACTGCACCCACTTTACAGATGAGGAGGCTGAGGCACGGGGGTCAAGTGCCTCCCCCAGGGCTCGGGAAGCCTGGGACTCCAGCACCACACACTCCTCACCTCGGCTCTGACCCCTCCGTCTCCTACAGAGGCTAGAAGCCCCGCCCCCTCCTGGGGCTTTTCAGTCTTTTTCAGGAAGCTGACCTACGGGGTGCACCCGGTGGATGTGGCAGAGGAGGTGATGCGCACGGTGAGACGGAAGAAGCAAGAGGTCTTCATGGCCAACCCCATCCCCAAGGCCGCTGTGTACATCCGCACCTTCTTCCCGGAGTTCTTTTTTGCCGTGGTGGCCTGCGGGGTGAAGGAGAAACTCAGCGTCCCGGAGGAGGGGTAACTGCAGTGGGGCAAACCGGTCACCTCGAGGGGAATAAAGGCTTTCCTGGCCGGTGCTGGCTCCTCTGTCCTCTCGGCGCTGCCTACCTCCACTGCCCCGCACGAGACATCTCCCAGCACGAGACATCTCCCAACCTTCACTCCGTCCAAGTGGGGATGCTCGGAGGCCAGCCCGGTCCCATGGGGCCGCTGGGCGTCTGGGCCAAGACATTCCTAGGACAGATTTCCAGATGCTTCTCTATAGGGTGACAACCGAGCAGGAAAACAGGAACCATAACAGGTCCAACACACACACACACACACACACACACACACACACGCACGCACACTGTGGCCATCAGCCTGCCCAGGGACTCACTCAGAAAACCCCTTCCGTTTTACACAAGGGTGACCTGCCCGGTCAGCCCCCAGCCAGAGAAGCTGGACTTGGCGACCCGCTCGGGCAGGGCTGCCAAATGGAACTTCCTGCGGTGATGGAAATATTCTATCGCCTGCAGGGTCCAGGATGTTAGCCAGTAGCCACCAGTGGCTGTTGAGCCCTTGAAATGTGGCCTGTGGAACTGAGAAACTGAATTTTTCATTTTATTTTATTTGAATTAATTTGAATTGAAAGAGCTGCGGGGGGCTAACAGCTCCCAGGGTGGCCACACAGCGGAGCTGTAACGCCCCTTCCCGGCAGCTCATCAGAATCAGCCCTTTCCCCTGGATTTAATTGGTCCAAAGAGGAGCCCAGGCACAGCTGTTTAAAACTTTTTTCAGTTGCTTCTAAGGTGCAACAAATCCTGAGAACTCCTGCCCTGGGGCTTCCAGCTCATTCCAACCTTTTCTCCCGTTCTCAAAGCAAAACTCTTTTAAAACCGCCATCCTTGTTACTGGATGGGTGTTTCTCCTGGTTTGGTTTTTCTTTAATGATTCTTGGGATCTCGAAAAGTGGAGGGCACATTTTTTGCACTGATATTGTAACTACTAATGCAAACTTTTCTAATATTTATAGATGAAAGAGGGCTCAAATTTCCCCTGGAACCCACGCCATTTACCAAATTAACACATAGGTGGTACACATATGCACATATATATGCCTGGATTTAAAAAGCAAAGTGTCCAGGATCACGTGATCACCAGGGACTCCAGGTCACCCCAGGATAAGGCTGATGGTCAGGATGTGTAGCCAGAATTTAGGGGGGTCAGCTAAGGCAGAGCAGGTCTGGAGTCAGCAAGAAAACCTTCTATGTTATTGCTTTTGTTGGGGATGGGTACTAGAGTGGTGCTTAGGATGAGGGACGAATGGATGGTGGTTAGGGGCCGAGGCATGAACAAATGCATCAGGAAAGTGACTGAAATGTGATTGGTGGTCAGAGACAGAGGTGGCAGCTTCGGGACAAGAAAGGCTGGAGCCAGGGCCGCAGGCAGCCAGTCCTGGGGTCACCCCGGTGCTGGGCTCCGGGCCAAGCTTGGCCACAACCCAGACCCGGACCCTGGGGGTCTCTTTAGGGCTGTGCCTCCTCTCAGGTTGGTGTGTCACAGGGGGGCGGGGCTGAGGGGACCATGTTTTGGAGGTGGGGGAGGGACCATGCTTCTCCGGAGCAGCTTCTCAGAGTGACCTGGGAAGCAGGCTTCTGGGCTGGTCCTTGGTTTGGCTCAGATAGAACTCCTTCCTATTATGATTGATTGTTTATTGATTATTTATGTTGACATTACTTACAGAAGCCAGGAAGAGGCGAGGAAGGGTCCTCCCCTACAGGTTTCAGAGAGAGCAAGGCCCTGCTCTGCCCTGGATTTTGGACTTCTAGCCTCCAGAATCATGAAACAATACATTTCTGTTGTTTTAAGCCACCCTGTTTGTGGCAGTTGCCACCAGCATCTTTAGGAAACACACCCCGATTTGAATATATATGTTTCTGGCCTGCATCTTGACCGGTGCAGCCAATAGCCTGAAGTTTGTCAGACAAGAACCAGAAAAAACTGGGGGCTGTTCTCTCAAGGAGACACAAGCATCCTTTTCCGTGTGCTTACCGAGCCCAAAGAAGCAGTCTGGTTAAGGCTAATGTCATGAGAGAATGAAACAGCTCCTCATCCAAAGGCCCAGGCAAATCCACCGACCCAGTCTTCCCCACCTTCACCCCATTCACGGGATCAGGCCACCCTCCTCCAGGAGTGAGAAGGGAACCTGTTACTTGTTTTTGCTCCCTCATGCTGCAGCACCAGCGCCAATAAAGCGTTGCCTGAATTCCTCGTCTGGCCTCTTATCGATTTCTATTGATTAAAGGGTCCAAGGACCCTGGTCAGTAACAAAGTGATGGTCCACAAAGACAGGCTCTGGTCCTTGAAAATATGTGCCCTCCAGAGGGAGACCTGGGGAGATTTCTATTTACTTAGAGAACCGCAAGTCATTTTAATGAAAAGTCCTTTAAATTTTCAGACACAACTCCATCAACCGCTTTCTGGTATCAACAGCAATGAGCCATGTTTACACAGCAGAAACAATACATGATCATTTGTCTAACTTGAATAACTCAGACAGCCATTTACACATTTCACTGATGAGCTTTTATTAAAATTGTACATAGAGCTTAGTTAATTATTTTTTTAAAAAAGAACTTCCTTTTTTCCTAGTATCAAAATAGTTCTCTTTTTTAAATACCTTGAAAAACTTTAATACAATTATTTGTTATATATTAAATACTCTCCTAAAATCTGAATCATTTCTCTCCCATCTCTTTTCTCCTAGAATCCTGCCTTTCCATCACTACCACTTTTTCTTTGGCATCTTTAATGCTTTATCCCAGAGAAACATTAAAAGGAAAAGATTTTCCTGTTAAGTCCACTATTTCAAAAAAAATTTTTTTTTAAATAGAAGTCAATTATATTTGATTTGATATTGAAAATTCTCATTAACTAGGCTTCCCTACAGAGTTATGTTTGCCCACATCCAATTACTCTTTAGTACAAGTATTCAGACGCTGGAATTTAAATAAAGCAGCATTTCTTGTCCTGAAATGATTATGCTGACCCAACAGCGCCCTCCAGTGGTCTGGAAGTATAAAAGCAGCCAACAACATAGAGTATTTTGGGGTATTAGGTGTTGGAAATCTAGATGCAGAGACAAAAAACTGTTTTATTTTCAAGACAACCAGCTTCCCCAAATCCCACTCTCAACACGAGCCATCTACAGGTGCTCAGTGCAGAGTCTCGAGAAAGCCAGCGTCACCCATCACTAGAACACACACCATCAGAGGCTGGACTCGGGTAACATTTTCTTCCGACCTAAGGAAAGAGTGCGGTATTTCACCTTCGGTAAGGTTCCGAAAGAAGCCTGCTCCCCGGGAACACTCATCTGTGACGTGCCGAGAGTACTGGCCCTCGGGGGCCTGCCGGCCTTGCGAGGGAGGCGCAGGGAGCTGGGCGCTGACCGGACGTCTCTCTCTGGGTGGCCATCCGGACCCCTGGTCAGGCTCCCTCGAATCCCGAGGGGTGGGGACGAGCCTCGAGCCTGCTCGTCCACAGCCGGGCTCAGCCTGCCACTCACCAGGGAGCCTGGGGCCGCCTGGGGGGCCGCCTGGGGGGTCGCCTCGGCCCTGTCACCCTTCCTGTTCTCCTTCCTCCAAAACACAGACCTCAGAAGGGTGAGGGTCCCCTGTGGGAATCGGTCTGTCTCCAAGTCCCTGCCCTCCGCATTAGCCCTCATCTTGCCTAAGGCATTTCGGTGACTGTCTGCACTGTTTCTAGAAAACATGGCAACACTGGGAGCCTCCTTGGGGGAGGGCACGCTGCCCCTGCTCCCCACCGGGCCACTGCCCTTACAGCTTGTGGGCTTCTGGCCCTCCGGCCGGGCTCGTTTCTCATTCTGCACTGAGGACATCACCGTAAGGGGCAGGTCAAACTGTCTGGGCAGCCTGATATCTTGACTAGAGTTTTCCCTGAGCTTCCTTGCTGTGTTGGGGCCATCTGAGTTGCCAGGGTGGTCCAAGGGGCAGGGCGCCCCGGCCAGCACTGTCTCGCTGGCTCGCCCACTATCTTCACTTTCACCCTTAGCAGAAAGGGTGGCGTTTAACCCCAGTGCTGCCGACTTCTTATCCCCGCCGGCAGCGCCAGTCAGCAGCGGCACGATGGACTGGCTCGTGGATCGAGGTCTCCGTCTGGACTCCAAGTACTCCACCAACCCGACAGATGCACCCGGTGGTGGCTTCTCCCTGGGGCCAAAAGACCACCGGAGGGGCACAGTCTTGAAGGCCCCCTGCTTGGTTCGGGAAGGGGCGGGCCCCTTCATGCTGATGCTGCGGCCTTGGACGCCTCCTGCCAAAGGCCTGGCCTCCAAACCTCCTGAAAGAGACACCAAGAGCATCAGCGCCCGAGCACCCCTCCAGCTGCACTAAGAGTAATCCCAATGCCCGTCTAACAGGCCCTGGTTGAGCACCTCTGATGTACGAGGCACCATCCTGGGCCCTGGGGGCACAGAAGTGGGCAAGACACTATGGCCCCTGCCCTCGGGGCATCAGAATTTACACCCACTGTTCCATGGAACCCATTTACACATTTGACGCCAGTGTCAGTGAAGGCAGCTACACGCCCAGGCAGAGCGGACTCCCGATAGAACTCAGCCTCTGAACCATCTGGCCGAAGATTTATCATCATCCTCATTCGTCTTTAAATACTGCCATGAAGCAGAATGCTCAGCAAAAGCCCCTGCTTTTCTAGGTCAGATGCGGTCCTTGTGTCTTTCAAATGCAAGAATCTCAGCTATCCTACTTCGGGCTTAAAAAGAAAAAGTAAAAGAAGATGATAGTCTGTTTAATTTTATCAGAACGGCCAGATAGGCCTCCATTGTGTTTTGCAACATTAGTATATAGTTAAAAAGATGTTTTTGATATATATTGTTAAGCAAGAAATAGTCTAGAAAAACAGAGCAATCCAGCCTGCAAAAAGATACACACCTATATGTGTAGGTGTATGTGTGTGTATGATACGTATGTGTGAAAATATACAAAGAAGTCTGGAAAAATAAATACTAAAATGACAAGGGAACTGTGTAGAGGGAACTGTGGGGGTGCTGCGTATTGATTTTTTTCTTAATTCTTTCCTAAATCTCAACATTTCTAAAGGGGACATACATATACCCAAGGTTGTACATATTTTCTTAAGAAACAGTCAATCAGTTATTAAAAAAAAATTCCATTCATAACAGCATCAAAAGGAATAAAATGCTTAGGAATGAACTTAACCAAGGAGGTGACTTTTACACTGAAAACTAGAAAACACTGCCAAAAGAAATGAAAGACCATATAAATAAATGGAAACACATCTCACGTTCACGGACTGGAAGATTTCATATGGTTAAAATGTCAGTATTACCCAAAGCAATCTACGGAGTCAATGCGACCCCTATCAAAATCCCAGCGAGGTTTGGAGCAGAAATAGGAAAACCCACCCCAAAGTTCCCATGGAATCTCAAGGAGCGCCAAACCGCCAGTCACAAAAAAACACGTACTGTGTGAGTCCACTCTATGAGCTACTGCGGGTAGTCAAAAATCAGAGAGACCGAAAGGATAAAGGTGGTTGCCAGGGGCTGGGGTGACGGTAGGGGTGGGAACAGGTATAGAGTTTCAGACTTACAAGATGAAAAGAGTTCCAGGGACGGATGCTGGTGGCAGCTGCACAAAAACGCCAATGTACTTAATACCCCTGAACTGTACACTTACAAATGGTTAAGGGAAGTATATTCAATATCTTATAATAACCTATGATGATAAAGAATATGTATAAATATGTGTAACTGAACACTATGCTGTACACCAGAAACTAACACACTGTAAATCAACTATACTTCAACTGAAAAACTGAATGGTTAAGATGGTAAATTCCACTATATATCTTTGAACACAATAACAAAAGTAAAAAAAAGTCTGTTAAGGCACCTTGATTTACAAGATGCCTGTCATCCCTGAGAAAGAAATCTTCAGCTGAAACACACAGCCCACGTGGCACAGGGCCAGTCACACGATTTAGAGAAAGACCCGAGGTCAGGTGCACCAGCCTCTCCTCCACAGCTGTACCCTCTCACCAGGGAGCCCGGTCAGCCCCCAGTGATCAGCACAGACAACCCGGAGGAGCTGTACGGGGAGGGACTAAGGGTCCACGGAGGCACAGGCAGGGGCTCAGGGAGCTCAGAGGAACAGGGGAAGCCTGCAGATGTCACCGAGGGTGGAGGTGCCTGGACTGCGAGGCTGCAGACACCCATCAGCCCCGCGAGGGAAGGACAGCATCTCAGAGGTTCCGCGGACCTTGCCTTTTGGATTTTTTCACAGATTATCTTTAGGGTTTTTTTGTTTGTTTTTTGTTTTCTTTAAAGCACTACTTTAAATTAGCCAGCAGTACACACAATCTCACCCCAAATACTTTGTAATTCTAGTCCCGATTGACGTTGGCGCTCCACCACTAAATTCTCACACCTTGGAGGGGAAAAACAAAAACTCAAAACAAACGAAAAAAACCAAACAAACCCTGTCCCGAGGACTGAGACGTGTGAGAAGCCACAGCCCTGGGAATGGCAGAAAGGGAAGCTTTGTATTAGGAGGACAAAGTGGCGACTTTCAGCCTTTCAAAACGGGACAACCAGCCTGCAGCCCTGGCAGGTGGCGGATGGTTTGGCAGCGGCCCTGGCACACTGTCCATCCTTCCCCCGGGGATGGAAGGGCCCGGGCTGCCCGCAGCACCGCAGTGGCAGCTCATTTCACGTCCCTGGACCACAGGTGCCCATGCAGCGCCCGGCTCCTCCTTCTCAAGACGCAGGGAGAAAGCACGTCGGCCAACCCCATTATTTTCTTTTATTCTCTTCATTGGATCAGAGAGGGAGCCAGAGCTTTAGACACAAGGAGAAATGCAGAGAGATGCGCGGGAGCGCGCCCATGCGGATGCAGCGCTTCCTGCTCAGCAAGCATCTCCGTTCTGGTCGGGGAAGGGGCGGCCCCGTTGCTCCTCCCCTAGGGAGCTGGGCCTCCCCAGATGCTGGGAGCCAGAGGCAGCGGTGGTGTTCAGAGACCCCTCCGCGATGCTTCCTTCCTGCCGGAGAATCTGTGGTCCTGCTCACGCCCAGTCTGGCTTGAGAACCAGGTAGGGTCTAGACTCTGACGCCACACTGAGGACACCCACGGTTAAGTACTTCCAGAAATCTGTACAAGCCCCAAAGCATACAGAACAGCTTCCCAGGGCCCCAGGAGCCCTCCTCACCCAGATGGTGCCTGTGCGGCCCAGTGGGCACAGCCTGCACCACATAGCGACCCGGGAGCTGGCGGATGTTTCACTTGAGAAATGCCACGTCCATTCCTCTGTGACTTTTTCTCCTGGCTAGTGAAACAGGGCATCCGCCCAACCTGACAGTGTGTGCTGTGAGCCGGGGGCGGGGCCTCCTCTGGCCATTCTTACCTCACCTGCAACAGGACGGGGTGGGGGGAAGCCCCCATGGGAAGAAACTGAAAAATAACATACATACGGGGGTCTGGCAGTCAAAGAATAAGAAAAAACAGAACCGCTGGAAACGGAGCCATCAGAGAAAACAGACAAAAATCAAAGCTCTCAAGGAGATTTAAGTGCAGAACAAGAGAACAACAGGTTTTAAAATTCAGTACCTGAATTGAAAGCATGCAGGGTCATGGCGAAGACTCAAACTGAAATTTTCAGTGGCCTGAAATTATCTTGAAATCTATGAAATTCAGTAAATTCCACAAATTTCATAATTGTGAACGCAATGTTTCACACAAAGTGAGAAAGAGACAGAAATCACCGGGAAAAGCTAGGAGACTGGGAGGACAAAACGATGAGAACTAACAGGCAAATAACAGGAATTTGGAAAGTAGGAGAGACAAGAATGGAACAGAAGAGCGTTTCCCTAAAGAAAAGCCTGCATCTACAGAAGAAGAGGACTCCCCAAGTTCCAGGCAGGGCTGGTGAACAAACACAGACCCAGGTATATGCGAGTAGAATTTCTAAACTCTAAGGTCACGGCAGAATCGTAAAAGTTTCCAGCCAGAAAGAACAAGTGACTCTCACATGAAAAAGAAGAACGTCTCACCTGCGACCCTGGGGCCTGGAAGACCGTGGGAAAACACCCACAGACGCCCGAGAGGAAAGGACTGCAACCCAAGAGCCCTGCCCCAGCCAAGTTGCCACCCCCTCTGCAGGGGGGGGAGTATTTGCGGCCGCCCAAAGAGTCAGCATATCTGGCATGTCTGAAAAGACCTTTGACCAAGCACCGAAGAACCGAGACCTCAAGTTCCAGGGTGACGAAAAGAAGGCAGACAGGGGTGTTCAGGGGACCCTGCAACCATGCTCCCCCCCCTGCACATGGTCTCAGAATGTGTTACAGAAAGGTAAGGGAATGTGTTGCGGACGGGGAGAGGGACTGCAGGAGGAACTGTGACTACAGTCTGGAACAGAGTATGAAAGCACCTTAGTGAAAGCTGAGTTGAGGACTGACGTAGGGGCGTTCCTAGCACAGACTGAGGGAACGGGTGAGAGCCTTTCAGCGCTCTCATTTTGGGGAGGCGGGGGGTGGCGTGGACGCGTTCTGCAGGTCTCCTCCTATCCGGGGAGAGAGAGCAGGCAGCGATGGAGTAGGTGACTCTAGGGAAATAGCCGGCTTCTCATATCCATATACTAATAGGAAACATAAATATACATGGGGAATATTGGGAAGTAAATATTGGGAAACATAAAGTAACCATGAACAAGATGGAAAACAACAGAACTTCCAAGTGAATGAGGGGAAAAAAGGGAACACACAGCAGCACGATCAAATCAGTAAAAATAAGAAAAAAGTAAGTCATAGAAAAAATGTTTTAAATGAAATGAAATCAAGTTTTGTAGTTGTTACAGTAAGTATGAATGGACTGAACTTTCCCTTTGTAAGACAGACTCTGAATTTTTGTCGTTAAAAAACCCCCAAACCCAGTTTTTAGCTCCTTAAAAAACTAAAAATACAGTTATCGTATGACCCAGCAATCCCACTCCGGGCATATGTCCAGACATAACTCTAATTTGAAAAGACACCTGCACCCCAATGTTCACTGCAGCACTATTTACCACAGCCAAGACATGGAAGCAACCTAAATATTCATTGACAGATGACTGGATAAAGATGTGGTAC